TAGTGTGTCTGTGTGTGTGAAGTATATAAACAAATATATATATAAATATTTTTAAATAAAATATACCCGATGGTTGACACTCTCTTTGCTCTCTCTTTGTTGTTTCTGATTAACTTTAATAAAAAGGACTGTACAATTTGACCTTTATATGAATTAATCATTGTGAATCTCTTTCTATTTGATTTCACCAGACTTAAGACACTGTTGGAGCAAGAGAAGGCATACCAGACTCGCAAGGACAAGGATCACAGCAAACGTCTTGAGAAAGTTCAGGAGGAGTTGGTTAAGTTGAAATCATTTGCCCTGATGCTGGTGGATGAAAGGCAGCTTCACATTGAACAGATTGACCAGCAAAGACAGAAGGTCCAGGATCTCAGCAAGAAGCTACATGAAAGAGAACAGCAGTTGGAGCTCAACAACAGCAAAGCTAAAGAAGACAGTCAGAGGATCCAAAGGCTGGAGCTCGACCTAGAACATAAGACCTCCAAATCTTCACAGGAACATGAGGAGATGACCGCCAAGCTGGCCAAGCAGGAGTCTGAAAGTCGACAGCTGCGTCTGAAGCTGGCCAGCATGTCACGCACGATTGAGGAGTTGGAGGAGGCCAATCGTACGCTGCAGAAGTCTGAGGAGGACCTTCAGGACCTGCGGGACAAAATAAGCAGAGGGGAGTGCGGGAACTCAAGCCTCATGGCCGAGCTGGAGAACCTTCGGAAGAGAGTTCTGGAAATGGAGGGCAAGGATGAGGAGATCACGAAAACAGAAGCACAGTGCAAGGAGCTAAAGAGGAGGCTTCAGGATGAGGAAAATCACAGCCGTGAGCTGAAACTAGAGGTTGAAAAACTGCAAAAGAGGATGGTGGACCTGGAGAAACTGGAGGGAGCTTTCAATGTGAGCAAATCTGAATGTGCCCAGCTTCACAACAACCTGGAGAAAGAAAGAACCTTGACAAAGAGCTTGGCGTGTGAGCTGGAAACAGTTAAAAACCATATCAAAGAACTTGAGGGCTCAGAATCGAGGCTGGAAAAGGCTGAGATGGGTTTAAAAGACGACTTGACCAAACTAAAGTCATTCACTGTGATCCTAATGGATGAGAGGAAGAACATGGCAGAACGAATCAAACAGGAAGAGCAGAAAAATGAGGAGACTAACCAACTGTTTAAAGCTGAGCAATGCAAAGTCACGGAGGTCACAGAAAAGCTAATTGAGGAAAGTAAGAAGCTTCTTAAACTGAAGTCCGAAATGGAGATGAATGTGTCCGCTCTTACCAAGGAAAAAGATGACCTGAAATCTAAACTAGCAAGTGAAGAGGAGAAACGAAAGGATCTCAGTATAAAGTTATGTCAGATACAAAGTAAAATGGACGAGCAAGAGGAAGCTGAGTGGGAATCTTCAAGAAACAGAGCTAATGTAGACAAAGTTGAGTATCCTGTTGAGGACAACAAGGTTAAAGAGCTCACAATGGAGATTGAGAGACTCAGGAACCGACTTAAACAGCTTGAGGTTGTGGAGGGCGATTTGTTGAAGACAGAGGACGAGTATGACATGCTTGAGAAGAAGTTCAGAACCGAGCAAGACAAAGCCAATGCTCTTTCCCAGCTCCTGGAGGAAATGAAGACACAGATCACCAAGAACAAGGCCATAGAAAAAGGAGAGTTGGTAAGCCAAGAAGCTGAGCTGAGACTACGCTGCAAGATGGAGGAAGCCAAAACGAGAGATCTTCAGGTCGATGTCCAAGCTCTAAAGGAGAAGATTCATGAGCTCATGAACAAGGAGGATCAGCTATCTCAGCTTCAGGTGGACTACACGGTTCTCCAGCAGCGGTTCAGTGAAGAAGAGAATAAAAAGAAAAACATGAGTCAAGAAGTTCTCAAATTAACCAAAGAGTTAGAAGCTACGAAGCGTTACAGCCGTGCCCTTAGACCCAGCATGAATGGAAGGAGGATTGTGGACGTTCCTCTTGCTTCCACTGCAGTACAGACCGACGCAGACATGAACGAACACATCGAAGACGAGACTCCAGCTGTGTTCATCCAGAAGTCTGTTCTAGAGGAAAATCACCTTATGAGTAATCTGAGGCAGAAAGGTCTCAAGAAGCCAACTGTGTTGGACCGTTACCCGCCAGCAGCTGCAGAGCTGGGGACGAGGAAGTCTTGGAACCCGTGGATGAAGAAGAAAGAAGCTGTTACTATCACTCAGGAAGTTCCATCAACCCAGGAGGTCAATGGAACAACATCACACTCATCACCAGAACTAACGATGTCTCAGAAACCCGGTCAGCCACTCCATATTAAGGTGACTCCAGACCATCGGAGCAGCACTGCCACGTTGGAGATCACCAGTCTACGTGCTGAGGACTTCTTCTCCAGTACCACCATCATCCCAACTCTTGGGCTCCAGAAACCACGCATAACAATCGTTCCTACTTCTATGCTGCCAAAGTCCAAAACCAATGAAGGGCCAGCTGAACGGACAAAGTCTCCAGTCACTATAACGGCCATCTCCAGAACTAAATCTCCAGAGAAGGGTAAGGGCTCTTACTCGGAGCATCCTGCTTCTCCTCTGTCCATCATAACCGTTAGCGCAACTCCAGTCTCCCAGGCGTCCATCTCCCCAGAACCCCATGAGATGACCATGGGCAGGGCCGTGTTCAAGTTGACCCCTGAAAAGCAGACGGTTCCAACGCCCATCCGGAAATACAACTCCAATATTATTACCACAGAGGACAACAAGATCCACATCCACCTGGGGTCAACAGTGTTCAAGAAACCTCAGGATGACAGAAGTGGCTCAGTTATGGTTTGGCCTAATGGTGTAAGTTCAGACAGCAAAGAGATGCAAACGGGGACGGTTCTGCGTGCTCCCAGACAGATGGCAGCTAATGTCGGGAACATGATCCAAGGCAAGATGACCAGCAGCATCACAATAACCCCCATCACCTCGGCCCCATCCAGGTCTACTCAATCTGTGGTGAGTACCTGATTCATTACGATTTTGGAAGATGCGGAACGTTGTGATAGAAAAGTGAGTGAATCAAATAGTCATTTAACAATTAATACTTTGTGATTTTGTGTCCCTAAAAACCAAATGATCATATTCAATCTTTTATATTTCAGTTGCTTCTGAAATGTTTCAAAATGATATCAGGGGGTGTCTGCTCCCTAGATAGCTCTCTTTCAAGGTATAGATAAATCAAATTCAATCTCCCTATCCATTATCGTTAACTAACACTGGAATGTACTGACGTGCTTGTCACCCAAGAAAGCTTGTCAAGAAAATCCTTTAAATAGTGACACAAACTGACCTGTCCCCTCATGTTTAACCTGTTATCAAATTGAATAATGTGTGACCAGAACTAGGCTAACCTTCCTATTCTTGCCTAGCAAAACCTACTAAATCAAGCACCAATTGTAAAGAATAAAATATAATTTACATTTGCAAATATTGAATAGTTTTTAATATTAGATAAAAATAAATAATGAAAAGTGTATATATATATATATATTATAGCATAATGAATAATTGAAAAAAATTAATATAATTTGTAAAGACTTAGACTTAATAACATTCCAACATATTATGTGAATGGCCACCATATTTATTATTATGTTTTTTATTTATTATAAAACTATATATTCATTTAAATTATATATTTGTTTGAATTTTAACATTTAGTTTTGCGTTTAACTTATTTTTGCATAAATAACTGACCATTTAAGACCCCTTTATAAACAGGTTAAAACTTTCATTTTCAGAAACAGAAAGTTAACCTGCATAAATGCAAACACAAAATGCACTTACTATGGCAAACACATGGTTTGTAAAAAAAAAAAAAAAACTCTCTAAAATGTGATCTCATATTTCCCTTTTCCTTTTTCTCAGCACGGAACGGATGTGCAGTCATCTCGCTCCACGGCAACACGAATCCCCATGTCAAAAGGTATGAAAACAGGGAAAGCGGTCTTGTCCACAACGTCACATTCTGAGAGCCAGTTTATGAAAATTGAATTGAGGAAATCTGCAGTTTGCAGCTCTGCAGCCGGAGCCGGAGGAAAGAGCTGAGATTGGCTCATGTTAATGTGGCACTGGAATTTAAACTAAGCACTACCGAACTGAATGAAATCTGAACAAAAGCGTTGCAATGTAAAACAAAGCAACCATTGGCACTGTGGCCTCCATTTCTAGATTTAGATACATGATTGTAATATTGTAAATACTGTATGTTAAATCAGCCTTTATGTACAGACATTTATAGTTGGATCTCAGACAATTGGAATGTGTGCATGTGTGTTTTTTGTGCTAAAACACTTTAACTAACCCTTCACTGTTTATTTTTTCCCCCTTTAGTATTTATTTTTCCATTTACCATTTCACTAAGGTTTAATTCAGTAAAACTGCTTGTGGGGGTTTCCAGAGGAATGGAAATGTATTGTGTTAAATGTCACTGAATGAATTTTGTGATTCCACTAAATAAATATTATTTTTTGTTCAGAATACATAGAAACATTCTGTTTTATTTTATATTTTGGGTTTATTGATTATTTATATATTGAGATTTGATGGGAAATGCTAGGAAGAAAATGGGGGAGGAAATATTTATTTCTATCATAATGTATGTTCTATATATCTATGTAAGGGCATTGAACTAAGGTCAGGAAACCTCCATAAATTGTGAATAACATTTTAAACCATATTGATATTAGTTAAGCATGTTCAGTGGATAAACTGATACTCATGATTCACCCATTTTGAAGACTACATGTTCTGACAGTGAAGGAATTTGATATTCCTAAAATTATACCAATGCCTTTTGTTTCCTTGCAATTCAGTAACACATTCTGAATCAACTTAACACTGCTCAATAACACAATTTTGTATTGTATGTAAAAGTTGATCAAAATATTTATAAATATAAGCATCACATTTCTGCTTCTAAACTTTCCCAAATGTCTCACCCCATAGGCGTCCACTACTGTAATCATACATTTTATTTATCTGTATAAACTGAGGGAGGGGTCTAAATTACTGGTAAACAACATTATTTTACAGATTTACCCTGCATTGAAACCAGAATATTCCTATAATGAAGGTTTTGACACACATTTATGACTTGTATTGCAAAGGAGAAAAAGCTACTAAGCAAGTTTAGTGCCCTTCACTTTAAAGGCAGGGTAAGAGATTTCTGGTAGCCAATGTTGATATTTGAAATCACCAAAACAAACATGCCCCTACCCCAAAAGGGTCTCGCCCCTATTTTGATAGCTCCGCCCCACACACATACGTACGCAACCCAGGCAACGATTAGTTCCGTGAAGCAAAGCAAAACCAATGCTACACCGTGTCTACACCGGACGCGAGTGGCGCGGCGCGACAAAATACTTTAGAACTCATAATCAGTGATGCTGTCTACACCATATATATATATATATATATATACATATCTATGGTCTACACTAGATGCGGCGCGGCACGACACGACAAATCCCCGACAGAAAACTGCTGCTGCGTTCTATTTATGATGTATTGACACAAATTTCAAATGATTTTCAACTGATCGCAGGCCTTCCGCTCCTTGAGTTCTCTCCAGCGCTGGAAAGCTGATCCGATATTTACACGGGTCCTACTTCTTGCCTTCTTGCCTTAAGCCTTCGTTTGTTCCGCAGATGGTTTCCTCTTTTGTTTTTTATCCACCATCTCTATCTATCTTTCTGTTGCTCGGCTCGGACTGAACGCTCTCTCCTCCACATCATGAGTAGACACGCCCCTTACTGCTGATTGGCTACAAGTTTGTTTTGCTATTCGGCCCGAATCAGTTTTCTAAAGCGTTTTTGAAAAATCGCTTACCCCACCTTTAACGAGAAAATGGTCAGTTAATTTTTTAGCATCCTAAAGAAATAGCTTGCTGAAAATCTACTCACCCTTAGGCCGTCCAAGATGTAGATGAGTTTGTTTCTTCGTCAGATGTGGAGAAATGTAGCATCGCATCACTTGCTCAGCAATGGATGCTCTGCAGTGAATGGGTGCCGTCAGAATGAGAGTCCAAACAGCTGATAAAAACATCACAATAATCCACAAGTAATCCACACCACTCCAGTCCATCAGTTAATGTCTTGTGAAGTGAAAAGCTGCATGTTTGTAGAAAATAAACCCATCATTTAGGCATTTTAACTTCAAACTGTCTGTTTATAATCTATAATAACGCTTCCTCCAGTGAAAAGTCCACCGCCTGTTGTCCGCTCACATCAAAATCCAAACGATACTTGGTCTGTGCAGACTTCTCTCCTAATTCAGACCAGATGACTAGTTCACGGAGAAAGCAATATTATGGATGGAGGACTTGTATTTGAACCAGAAGCAACAGTTTGAAGTTAAGAACGTCTCAATGATGGATTTGTTTCTTCCAAACACACAGCTTTTCACTACACAAGACATTAACTGATGGACTGGAGTGGTGTGGATTATTGTGATGTTTTTATCAGTTGTTTGAACTCTCATTCTGACGGCACCCATTCACTGCAGAGGATCCATTGGTGAGCAAGTGATGCAATGCTACAAAAAAAAAATTATCTTTTCAGATGAAGAAACAAATTCTTGGATCTTTGATGGCCTGAGGGTGATTACATGTTCAGCAAATTTTCATTTTTGGGTGAACTATTCCTTTAAGACATCTCTATGAAGTGTTCTTCTGCTGATGTTACTGTGTGATCAGAGTTTAGTGCTCAGTCGAGGCCATCTGGGAGACTGAGAACGCTGTTAGGAGAAATAAGAAACAACAGCTGGAGATCTGGAGTCCCGTTTAAGATCCAGATTGTGTCCTTCTGCCTGATACAAACTCGGCAATTACACAAATAAAGACAGGCTTTTAATTTATCTGTTTAGCATTAAAGGAACAGTTTGCCCAAAAAAAAGGAAAATTATGTCATCATTCACTCACTCTCATGCCGTGTGACTTTCATTTCTCCGTGATGCTTTGCAGAAGGTTCAGAATGATCTTTTTCATATGAGGCCTGGTTCTGCTGAGCTCTAAAAAAGCTCTCAAATCGCGTTCAAATATGCTTTCAATTAATTTAAACGACATTAGCAACAGATGAGTTTGGAACGACACTAGGGTGAGTAAAAGTTTTAATTGTTAGATGAACCTGAAAGCTTTTGTCTTTCTCATGAGAATAAGCTGCTGTTTTGTGTGTCACTATCAAGGGCTTTTTAAATCAATTATTTCCATTTTCACAGCAGCTGACAAACTGACAGTGTTCATTTTCTAATCCATCCATGCGCAATAACAGGCTTTGGCAGCTCGCTGGATTCAACGGCGCGCTGCGATTCCCAGAAAACGATTGTAAAATTGCTCTGATATTTTCACCATCCATGAACTTGGCCTCTCAAAAGTGCTTAACATGAATATGTGAAACTGATTCTTTCCATGCAGTAGTTAAGCCGTGGGTTTCAAGGGATTGTAGTGTTTCACAGTAAGCTCACTTTCCCTGTTTTCATCCACAGAGAATGTTGTGCTCCATGTGAATCGAGAGCCACGCTGAGGCTGTTTCAGATCCATAATATGCCTGACAGAAAGGTCTCTACATTTGCTCTGCATCCAAACAATAGAACGAGGGTCGAATCTGTCAAAGCTGGTTCAAGCACAAGGATCTGTAGTGTTGCTCCATATCTACATGCATACAGACTATATCATCAATTCAAGACCACAAGACAGTCAGTCAGACGGCAGATTGCTGAACTCTGGATGCCAGACAGTAAAGAAAGAGGTCAAAAATGCAAGAAGAAGAGAAACCGATATGTTTTTTTTTTTTTTTTTACATGTATTTTGAGAATAAATACTTCAGTAAAACATGGGAAAGTCAACATGCAATCAAAACTGACCCCTTTTACTTCCATGTTGTGTTCGGAGAGGATTTTATTTTTCCCAAAAATGCTTGTTAATGTTATGGCGTTAGACTACAACCTACTGACTTTAGTCACACAGGGTACAGCAACTTTCCAAATAAACTGGATAATTTTTGCACTTGGTTTCAATCTTTTCATCAACATGTTTTCTTTCATTTAGCACAGGTTTTGTGTTTCTTTTTTGGAACGGATTGATCGTGAGCATTGATCTGAGCTCATGCACTTCAGTTTCTGAGTGAACATTGCCAAAATTATCCACAAATGATGCTTCTTTCACTCAAAAAACTGAGGTGCTTAAGGTCAAATCTATGAGACATATGATCAATTCAGTTTCAAAAAGAAATACAAAACCTGTGCACATTGAAAGCAAACAAGTTGACAAAATGACTGAATCCAAGATCTGGTAAAAAAAAAATATAGCATATTAAGAGATATTTTCGTTTTTTCAAATCCGGTCATTTTTGACCGGGAACACCAAATCTCGTTAAATATTCTGTTTCACCCGGAAATGTATTGCATTATGCATAAATTGGACTATGTAAGCAAGTTCATGTTGACTTTAGGCACTGATTTAACGTTAAATCATATATTGTTTGTTTTGAAAATGACTGGTTAAAGTGTCATCAATGTTATTGATCATTTATCAGTCTCATTGATGTGTTAAAAGAGTGAGAGAGGGTCAGTTGGGGAAAAAGTACATTATACTCTATATTTAATTAAGTCTAAGAACTGCGATCCACAAAGTCCTTATAATCAACAACTGTATTTAATTTCATTTATAGCGTATGACCTCTGTGAATGCAGTATGAGCTCACTGAACTGAAGTGTGTGTCTGCATATGAAATGAGAAATTCACCCAATAAACACATTTATGAAGCACGCGAATTTATGGTCCACTGGATGCGTTATAATCTGCACCACAGACTTTTAAGGTTTAGGGACAAATTCAGATTTGCATGGGTATGTCGGACAATCATGTTAGTACAAAGTGGTTTTTCAATTAGGGCTGTCAATCGATTAAAATGTTTAACCTAATGTAGGCTTATCTAATCAATAGTATATTAATTGCACATCAAATTTAGCTGAGAAGTTACCCACAAAAGCTAATTTAAAGTCATTACTGTGTAACATGAGAAAAGCATGTAATAGATATGACAAAAATAAGCTTTTTTTTTCATTTTTCATTTTTTGTGTGTGAACTATCCCTTCAATTAGAATTTTATTTATTAATATGGATTTTTTTCCATTTCAAATTTTTTATTAATATGCAGATACGAAATAATTTTTTTAATGAAATGATACTCTAAATATGACACTAAAACTGCCTGTAGGTGGCAGAAAATGTCTTAAAGGGATAGTTCACCCAAAAATAACAAAAAAATTCTGCCATTAATTACTCACCCTCGTGTTATTCGAAACCTGTAAGACCTTTGTTCATCTTCGGAACACAATTTAAGATATTTTTTGTGCAAAGAGAACTAAAATAACAACTTTATTCCACATTTTCATCTCTACTGCGTCACTAGTGGACTCGCGTTCACGACGCTTGCCTTGTCCAAATACCCACACTTGCGGTCTTTGCACT